GTCATCAAAGGTCACCAAAGGTTTTTGGCCAATAACTCCGTACAGGAACAAGATACAGACGTGTGGATGGTCTCATTGTGTTCAGCTCGTCAACACGCATCGAATGATATACATGATGACCTCGAGGTCACGTGACCTGAGGTCAACCTTTGACCTTGACCTTTCGAGGTGAACATATATATCATTCGATGCGGATTGACGAGAGGATCACGATGATGCCCTTAGTTTGTTCCTATCTTGACTAATTCGAAAGTTATTCGAGAAAAACTCTCTCCATATCTAGCGCCGCCATTTTGACTTTTTCGACCCCTGTGACGTCATCTTTGACCTGACCTGAAAATGACCTTAGTAAAAATTGTAGATCTTGGCCGTGCGTATCCGATGCCGTTTACCGCTTGTCGCTATCTTGCTTCGTTCTCGAGATCTCAGGGGGGGGGGCGGTCATCCGCCCCCCCCCCCCGTGTCGGTGCGAAGTTGGCGCAGACCCCCGTCGGTGCGCGGGTTTTAAGCGACATTTGGAGCCATTAACCTTCGCCGGCCGAGGGGGGGGGGCGGGTTCCGCCCCCTCCCATAGGCTTGTTTCATGTTTGCGATACATCCGAACACGCCGGCGATAGAGTCTGAGAGAGCTGAAACTTCGCATACCTGACCTTTGATTCAAGCCGGATCTAAAGCCCGCGCCCCGTAGGGGAGGGGGGGGGGGGCGAAACGGCCCCTCCCTGTCCTTTTCCGTCGATATCTCCTAAACGGCTGGAGATATCGCCACCAAACTTTCAGGACCCCTCCGGGCATCAATTTTACACATTGTGACCAAAATTTTTTCCAGAGGCTATGATAGGTTGGCCACAAATGACGTCAGAATGACGTCATGTTCTGTCATTTTCGACCGAAAAATGACCTTCGCGAGAAGACCTGTCAGGCCTACAGCTTTGAAGATACAGAAAAATCATCAGACATAAAAGGTGTAAAATTGACAGGGCTACAAAACTGCTATCTCGGATTTTTGAAATTTTTGAGTTTTGACCCCCAAAAAATAAAAAAAACATTTTTTGTATATTTAAGTTTTTTTGAGTTTCGAAAAACCGGAATATATGTGATAGTTCCTACCGTCTTCTATCCACATACCAAATTTCAGATCAATACTTCGTTTTTTGGCCAAGTTATAGCGAAAAAACTGTTCGAAAATGATTACGTCAAATTTTCAAACTCAATTTTTAGCAATTCTAGACATCGTAGAGCAAAACAAAGACCACTATTAGACTCCCCGTGAAGAGCTGCATCGAATCAATACCCATTTTATGCAAAAATATCAACTTTGAAATTGGACCTAATTTGACCTGACCTTGACCTGACCTTCACCAAAACGTGACATAGGCCGGCCCCAAAGGCTGCCTAACCCACATAATCGCATTTGTCATGTAAAATGGACCATAAAACATGTATCACACGACACTTTCATATTGTGACCCCCGGTGACCTGACCTCGCTGTGACCTGACCTGGTATCAGTGACCTCAGATAGCAAAGTATGTGTTTGACGAACAATGTACCATCGATGGTTTTCAATAAATTACCAATTTACTCGAGTTCACAACACATTTCTTGAAATGCCTGTGAACGGTGAAAATTCGACCTTTGACTTGACCTGTGACGTCATCGGTTTGACGTAGGTCAATGAAATTTGGTCTAGTTCCCCGGTGGGGCTATCGAACACCGTTTGAATTTTGAAAATCGGCCGGTAAATTTCCGAGATCTTAGGGGGGGGGGGCCGAAACGCCCCCCCCCCCTACGGGCGGTAGGGTCCGCCGATAGCCCTACGGGGCGCGGGTTAACACCAACCGCATTTTCGGGTCAGGTCAGGTCACTAACCAGTGACCTATGACGTCATAAGTGGACCTCTGCATGGTCATCAGATGTCGCAACTTCGTAACGCCTTCACTGCCAGACATAGGCGGCGGAACGGGGAGGGCACCGGGGCACCGTGCCCCCCTTTGATTTAGGCGTTTTAACATTAGCCCTATGGGCGTTGCATGGAAAGAATGGGACCAAAAGTCAGCAGTGCCCCCCTTTAATTGAAGGTGTTCCGCTGCTACTGCTGCCAGACATAGGCGGCGGAACGGGGGTGGCACCGGGGCACCGTGCCCCCTTGATTTTGCCATTTTAACATTAGTCCTATGGGCGTTGCATGCAAAGAATGGGACCAAAAGTCGGCAGTGCCCCCCCCCCCCTTAATTGAAGGTGTTCCGCCGGTACTGCTGCCAGAGGAGCTTTCACTGGGAAATGAAACGTGCAGGACCTATGTAGTATCCAGTAGGAGTCTCACAACTTGTATACCTATTACCTATCTCAGATTTTTCTAAAAGGTCATATGAGGTCAGGGCATTTTCGCGACCTCACCAAGTCAATGGGGAAAAATAAACACTGCTATCCTGGCGCCGGGAACGATCTCCAACTATCTCAAGCACACCGAATCGTGATTTCATGCACTCCTTGCAAGGTTCGATGCGTCACTTTTGCAATGTTGACCTTGCCTGACGTCATTTATGACGACATTAGGGTCATAGTAGTTTTTCGTCAATAAATTTTTATAAATTTAGTCTGAACTCTTTTGAATGGAAGGGTTCACAAGGACAGAGTCTATGCTAAGCGAAGCGTGTTGCGTTGACCCTGCCCTCTGTATCCTATCCTACAAGCACGCAATTCCGGTTTTATGGCAGAATTTGGAGTTCAAACTTTAACGTGCGCACATAGCCGCGCACGGCCGGTCACCTCACTGACTTCGCCTGGCTACGGCCTGCCACCAACCTCAAGCATACCTGTCAGGTGAGGCCCATAAACGTCAAGCGCCCGTCGCGCTTCGAACCCGGACTGTTATAACCGGGAACGTGTGCTTTCGCCACGCGGAGTCCAACGCTCTACCGACTGAGCTACGGAACCGGCAACTCCCGATCTAATTGAGCTAGCGAGTTGGGAAAGCCACCAGTGGACTCAGGAAGACCTGCCGAATCGGATGACATGCGAAATGACCACCTTTGACCAATTTCGTAACCAGGGGGGGGGGGGGCAGGGCATATTTTAAGGCACTTCCTGCGTCCCATTTTGGGACACAGCCCTCTAGCCTGGGGACGTAGCCCCTGCTGATTTGACCCACTGCGTCCCTGCCCTGTCCGGTTCCCTGACCTGTGCCCTGCTGTCTGCCCTGACCTGTACCCGGCCTTCCCTCTAAAATGTCCTGTGCCATGCCCTGCAACCTGCCGTGCCCTACTTTCTGCCCTCCTCAGTGCCCTACTCTGTTCCTTGCCTTGTGCCCTTAGTCGTAGCACGTGCCCTCTGCTCAACTTTGGGACGCAGTAAAATTTGTTAAAATATGCCCTGGTGGGGGACGCTGACCTGACCGTGACCCGAGGTCAACATCCTGAGTTGACCTTACCCAAACAAAAAGTATACCACTCTACGCGCCTGAGCAAGGTGAACACGATGCTGCCAAAATCGCGGCTCTTTGGCCGTTTTTTGCGAAGTTATTCACCAAAAAACTGAACCGTACCTTGGGGCACTTGACCTGACCTCAGAGGTCACCGGTCGACCTAGAACCTTAAAATCGGATATCAATCTTTTTGTCTCGTAACGACGCACACGCTCGTTTTTTCCGCGACGCGCTAGCTCCACCAGGGGTGACACGACGAGGGGAGTTGTACCCGTCTCCCCTCTCCCCCATCGGCCGGCGCGTACGTACGTAAAAAAACAATAGGTCCGGCGAGGGTTAAAGGGACCCTCCCACCTTCAAAAGAGCTAATGAATTGGCATAAAGGTGATGTCACTCGGTTCAGAAAGAGAAAAAACGAATATCTTACAAATTTCATCGAAAAATATTCACCGATTTTCAAGCTATTATACTTTTACTTTTGTTTACTTTTTGGATCTCCACTGTTCCTAGCTTTTAGTAAAAGATTTCAGTAGCGGCGGAACACCTTCAATTAAAGGGGGGGGGGGCACTGACGACTTTTGGTCCCATTCTTTCCATGCAACGCCCATGGGGCTAATGTTAAAATGCCAAAATCAAAGGGGGCACGGTTCCCCGGTGCCCTCCCCGTTCCGCCGCCTATGAAAGATTTAAAATCGTTAGTTAGACCTGCGGCCTGCGCTGACGTCACACATTCAGAGGGGGAATTCTAATGCATTAGCCCCTCTGAATCCAAGTGCTGCAACTTTGAAATGATATGTTTTCGATGTGAGGTATTTCTCGATCTTGTGAGTGCTCAAGCCATAGATTCATGTTCAATTGGTTTATCTTCAGATCCATGGGATCATAGATCCAGGATAATTTTTTTCTCGTAGGATCCGGTGATATCATAGATCCTAACATGCAGTTTGCTTCGAGATTCATTGATATCATATATCCATCATTCGGAATTCGAATCCATGCATATATCTAGTCGAAGGACTGCACGAACGGCTCGCAAATCCTCCCACTAGGTCGCTGGCTAGTGGAGATCGGGGACGAAGTTTGCATCGACTTTGAATATCTGCCAATGTTTTCCAAAATTGCATTGCAGTGAGATGAACGACACGGAGTAGTCCGTAAATAAACTTCTATCAAGTATCATATTTACTTTGCAGTTCTAGTCATTTTATAGGTAAAGATAGTTTTAATCTTCAGGTAGGTGGATAGGTACCGGATGAGCACCTATAAGGTACCCATCAGAATAAAAGAAAAACATGAGTCATTTGTGTGAAATAAGTGAAAGATCACAGATGAGTAAAGCCTAAAGCTTTCCATTGAAATAGCAATTAAGGCACACACGTTTCTGCTCGGTGCACAGGCACTACCCTGGGTAGGTAATGGGAATGCCTAACGAACATGTATCAAGGCCCTTTCTCCTACCTGTCCAATTCTAATGCCTACATAGTGGTGTGACTAACCAACGTTAACTCAGTCAGGAGGTCACCGCCCTTTCCTTTCCAACCAGTGGACCTACCCTGCGGCATCCCCTCCGGCCGATCGCCTAGGGTTGGAGACGATTGGCGAATAGGGAGAGGAGACGGGGACGGTTCATTGAGGGAGTCGGGCTGGTGGGGAGTGCAGGGAACACAGGACTGTCCACCTCTCCAGTAGTAGACACCTTCGGTCACAGAAGTCACCGCTGTCGTCCGTTCGATCATCGGTGACGGCCTGCGAGAGATCATCTGACACCTGACACAACCGCTTTTACCGCCGTGGCACTATGCATTCCGTAAGTAGAGCCTTGAGCTTTTTTCTGTTTATGACTTATGACTTATGACTATGTTGCGCTCTAAACTGTCACTTGCGCTTGACTATCTTGCTCTGTAAACGCCATTACATGTTTATCGTTCAACAATGACTTTTTTAACAAATATTACCGGTTATTTTTTCTAATACCTAATGTTTCAAACAGTGAATAAATCGTTCCTCTTATTAATGTTTTCGTTCTTCTTCTAGTCGAATTCATCATTTGATGGTGTTCTTACATTTGTTGTTAAAGATAGCCTTACGTTCAGTGATTGGGAATTGCGATTGGTTCTAAAATTAATTACAAAATTAATATATTTCGGACACTGACCTTCCTCAGTTCAGAATTGCAAAACAAGTCATTTGGTCACAACAGCGCCAGAATATGTCGATAACCGCTAAGTTAGAAAATCACATATTGGTAAATCCTCGCGCAAAACACACCATCATTTAGTAATTACTTTTGGAACCTTTCGCCATTCGCAATCATTGAACATATGGTTATCTTTAACAACCAGTAAAACGCCTTTTGGGCGAAGAACGAGCGAGCGAGATAGTGAGCCCTGCACGTGCGGAAGGGCGAGAGGGTGCTTCCAACGGGCTTGCGCAAAGCACCCTTCTAACTAGTCGCTAGCGGTGCGCCAAATTTGAACGCAATCGGCCCAGCCGTTCCTGAGATCTAGAAGCGGCATTCTGCACGTGCGCACGTGCAAACGGGGTCCAAAATGACTTTTGCACGGCACCCTACTAACTGGTCCCCAACCGTGTACCAAATTTGAGCGCAATCGGCCCAGCCGTTCTGGAGATCTGGAAACGCCCCCTGCACGTGCGCACGTGCAGTAGCACCCTAACCGCAACACATGGGAATGCATTGCCTGGTGGGTGCCTACCTGTATGCCAAGTTTCAGCGAAATCGCCCCAGTAATTACCGAGTTACTGAAATGGGAACAAATTTGGCACCTGGGGCATTCCATGTCAACCGGGACAGCCAAAATCGGTCACCTCTGCGATTTTATTCAAAGTTGGTATACTTATTCGCTATTGGGTAAAACCTCTGTGGGTGAAAGGATTTTGTCATATGCCCTCGGGCTACAGAGATACAAGTCGCTAAACTTCTGCTTTTTGAGCAGAATTGGACGTGTATTGCAATCTTGAAAGATCTATAGCTTCAACATTTTTGAAGCTATTAATTTCAAACAAACTGAAACGGGTACATAAGGAGTTATGCTAGTAAAATTTGACAATGTTTACATTTTTTGGTGATTTTGAATTTATTTTATTTTGAATTAATTTCTTAAAATGTAATTTGTGAAAAATGGGTACCCTTCGATTTTGCTCAAATTTAGATATTGTCTTCCACTACACGTAAGGCACACGTGCTGAGAAAATTAGAGTGGGCCAACGATAACTTTGGATGATATAGCAACAAGTAGTGCAACGTAGCACGGGCGTTGGAAGGGGCCGATTTCGCTAACTCCACCTGTTTATCGCCAATAACTCACGCCATAATTATTATATTAGCGTCAAACTTTCAGTATCTGTCCAAAATCGAATTGCAAATCCTCCCGTGCAAGAAATAGGTAAATCGGTCCACAACTTTTCTAGTTATAGCGGTGTAAAGTCAAACATTCCTGCCGGAGCGGCTCGGCGGCCGGCGCCGGCCGTTGCCGCCTGAGTGGTAGACTGTGCCGGCGCAGGACGGTTCCATCTTTGCACCGCGCTTCTTACCGCTGATTATGATCGATTCGTGTCAAATTTTGTGTGAAGGCTTAAAAATATACAGGCAATCTAATGTTTAAATAAATACGAAAATCAACTGGTAAAATTAAACTATTAGCCATTAGGGTGCAAACACAATATGTGACTATGACGTTTCCCGCGTCGGCCGATCCCCGCCTCTGCCGGCGACATCTTACTCTTAGCAAGCCACTAACTGCCAAATTTATGGTAAGATTAACTAGAGATTCTCATAACACTACAAATGTCGTATAAAGGAAGAAATAGGAAAATGGGCCAGTATCTCTTAGAGCTATGGGCGTATAAACGCAAAATAGTCACTATAGCAAGTTTGATCACGTTTAACCTCATTTGATCCTGAATGTATTGATCTAGGGCCATGAAACTGGCACACGATAAAGTTCCCCACCGCCCCACCTACAATTCAAATTCCGTTTTTTAATACCTTATTTTGTCTAAACCGGGCTTTTCTCCCCTAGCGCTGGGAGAGTCTGGCGTATTTTCTTTTAGCAACCAAAGAGAGGCGCTGCCCGGAGAATGCCCAATTTCATCATTAAAAAACTGGCTTACGATGACCAGCTATTTTCGTGTCTTAGTAGTAAGTGTGCCGAATGTGCCCACCTCGAAATCTAAAGGTCGCTGGCTCGCAGCGCGGGTCAGCCTGAGCCCTGAAGTGTTTAACACACATTTGTTTTTGTGGCATCTGGCCAGCCGGCAAAGTTGTGAGGGCTAATGTTCGGATCTAGGTAGCATTTGACCAGTCGGCAACTGCCGTGAGGGCTGTACATATTTACGCGTGTTAGATTAGGTCAGGTCACGTCAGGTCAGGTTAGGTTTGCTTTGGTTTGGGGTAGGTAGAAAGAAGCATCTCCAGGTAGCGCCTCTACTTGGTTGCTAAAACGAAACACGCGAGTGCCAGACATTACGAAGTCCAAAAGACAGTTACGTAGACGTCGGCCCATTCTGGATTTTTTATATGATGTAGCTAATGTATAGGAGAAAAAAATATGTAAAAATCAGCTAAATCGAAGGGTACCCATTTTTCAGAAAATTAAAATTTATTTTTTGAATTTTAATTAAGTTCACTAATTAGTTAATTACGTCAATATTGTTATCCTCAAATTAAAGCCTGACCTATTCCCTCCATTTCACACTTTGTCTCGTGGTGATATGTCTAAAACTTCAATGTTTATGACGCTTTAAAGATGATAATGTGCCTTGCCTAAGTCAATGTTTGATGACGTGTATCTCGGAAACGTGACGTCATATCTTGACAAAAATATGTCTCCTTTCTTTTCACATATAGATGAGTAGTTTCACAAAGTTTCGCAAAAATCGGAGGGGATGAGGTTCAAAATGATCATTTTTTGTCCCACTTGACGTGGAATGCCCCACCTCTTATTGTTGTATTTTGCACGTGCACTGGGGGTGACCCACATGCATCGAGAGTATCCTATTTTGGGTAGAAGGGATGCTGCTACCCTATAAAAATTACCGCAAGTCAATCGCCCAAGCGGCTGCGGAGATATGAGCCTCTCAAAATCACTACTTTTGCAAAACAGCTTGAACACCCTTGACTTTTCACGTGGCACGTGCCACCACGGCCACTGAGATGTATCAAAAGTAGTCAATTACGGGGCAGAAGGGATGGGACTACCCAACAAAAAAGACCGCAAGCCAATCGGTCCAGCGGTTGTTGAGATATAAGCCTCTCAAAAGCGTTACAGGCGGGCCGGGCCGGGCCGGGCCGGGCCGGGCCGCTCATACTGAGATTTTTCCGTTATATTGAAAAGACTCACTTCGCTCGCTGCGCTCGCTCGCTCGTAACAAGTCGCTGCTCATACAGGTACTTTGTCATTTACTTATGTTTTTACCTACATTGTTAATGTCGCCCGATATTTCTTACTACAGTAGATACGACCAAGTTGTCTTGATATTTATGTTTTTATTTATATCGCAGAATGAAAAGCATGCATGAAAAGACAAAGATAAACATCTCATATCTGCCAATGTTTCAGCTCTTATTCTCGGCTTCGAGCTATGAGTCCACGGTCTCTGCTTGATACGCTTTTGACACCAGTCAGTATACAAGTAATTAGTCAAGATAAGCGAGATAAAAGACATTGATACGAGTCATTGATAACTCGTATATAAGTTGTGTGTAGTGGACAAAGCGCTAGCTTAAATGCCTACAGCGACTCATTCAACCTTTCTCTCTCGATGACCTTGATCTGGGACCAGCGTTTTGTGTCCCTACCCCGGCCAGCATCACAACAGGCGAGAGGGTAACGACCATTGGACCAAGGTCAGTCGTGCGCCCGCACCGTCCCTACCCACTCCCCGCACCCCTTCCCTACCACGGCACAAACTTCACCCTTCCACCGTGCCCCTCCCGGCTCCATGTCTCTACCGGATACGGGTGGGTGGGGACCAATGAAACTGTTCAGGTAAACAGGGATTGTCAGTGCTGTTCCTTCCCTCTATTCGCTCAACTAGGTGGGCTTAGAGACCTAAAGACTTTGACATCTGCGATTATTGATATGAAAGAGCTCTTATTCATAGAAACGCTTCTCTGTGTCTTCTGGCAGGTTTTCAGGGTGCTGCTTCTTTTACTGGGACTGAGCACGGTCGCGCTGTCTGCAAAGTTAGACCACCTCAGTCACCACCACGGAGAGTCTGACCTGGCGGACCAGCCTGGCCAGCCCGGCCAGCCCGGCCAGCACGACCAGCCCGACCGAAGCGGTCCGCACGGCCCGCTTCAGAAGGCCCGAGAGACGGCGCGACGGCCGGCGCTGTCCCGCACCTCACAGACTGCTCCGACGGAGCCACCCGTCGTCCCCATCGTTCGGCTCGATCACCTGCAACGAGAGGACGGCTCCTTCCAGTACGGATACCAGACCGGAAACCAGATCCAGGTACGACGTCAAATTATTGAAAGACAGGATAGTGAGATGCTGGGACAGAACAAGCTGTTCCAAATAATTCTAGCTATGCGTATGACTTATGTCAAGGACGCTGGAACGACCTTCTAGGATGAATCCATTTTCAAGGCAACGAAGGTATCCTTTTTGCAAACTATGTACTGAAGTCTCAATATTGTTTCTTAGTTTCTGATACTTACTATGTCAGTTTGGGTCCCTCTGACCATTGACCAGTGAGACATAGGTACGTCATAACTCGAGGGTTAGCCAAGGATACAAGACTCTTCCATGACCTCTATGTCCGTTTGTTCGTCAGGCGGACGTGGAGGGCCGCCAGAGGCAGATCGGAGACGCTGCCGGCACGGTGATGCGCGGCAGGTACAGCTACCTCTCTCCAGAGGGGCACCGGGTGCGGGTGCACTGGACGGCCGACGAGAACGGGTTCAGGGCGGTCGGCGAGAACCTGGGCCTGCCGCCGCAGGAGTAGCACTTCCAGGGGAAGACTGTGCCGTCCGAGACTCGGACACAGAACGGAGCCAGTGAGGGGTAAGAGGGAGGTCAACACTCCACAGTGAGGTCCCTTTTCCAGTGGCAGGGTCAGTGCGGTGACTAGAGTGTGCAGGGACCAAAGTGGTTCGGTGAGGCAGATAGCCCTTGTTTAGAGTCTGCTCAATGCTCATCAGGAGAAAGTGTGACAAGATTGTCAGCGGTCTAATTCACGATGTGAGATGAAAATACATTCACTCTCCGAGGACTATGCATTATACGGTTTTGTTTGATCCATTGCACCGAATGTTGTTATGATTTACTTATTTCTGTATATTCTTTCCCAATTTCATCCACGCAAAAGAAAAGGTTTCTAAGATGCAAGATCTCGAGGACGATGATGCATAAACAAATATTCGCCGTAAGGTGCTCCTTTGTGATATCATCAACATTAGGTATTCGTTGGCAAAATTGCCCGAATCGACCGACAGCGGGCACGACATTCCTACGCAATAGACAGCGGACACGCTAATGAAAATATTGCCGCTAGATGGCCTTGCAGTAGGCGCCTGAATTCATGCTGTACCGCAATGCATAAAAACACTACACGGGAAGCGTCCCACGATAACAGGTTATTTTCTTCGTGCTTCTTGTTTTACTGATTTCACTACTCTAACTATTTGGTTTGCAAGCTTGGCAATCAAAACTGTGTTCGGTATTGAGTGAGCATTTGAGCAATGTGCATTGAAATTTGATAAGAAGTGAGGACCATGCATGCAACAATAGAGGAGCCGGGAATGAGATAACAGCTTTCGGGTTTCACAAAAAACTCAGCTTGGTATGGTATGCAGGAGATTATAAACAATCTCTACCAGACAAACAAGGTGAAGTCTTATCCTGATAAAAGATATAATTAGGTATCCTTACATATATGAAAAATACTATCCTACCTAATGTAATTATTCTTATCGTACTATTAAAGATACTATATAATTGCTAACTTTGTATTATGTGCCCTCGTTCCTTGAGTGTTAGATTCTGGGACTGTTTTATGAATTATTTCGTAACTGAGAAATAAATGGATTACATCAAATGAAATATTGTAGAATTAAAATAAAATGATGCAAACACAGGCCTAGCCGGTTTTTATCTTGCAGCAGACATGACATTAGTCACATTACCAAGTTTGCTGTTGGCACATTAGAGCCTATGTTTATTTTGCACTTGTGCCAATTCAGATATCCTGGGTATGAAGGCACCTCAAGGTAACATTGAGCCATGGTGTCAAATTTAAGGTGGTGTGTTGTGTAACGTGCATGAATCAAACATCAAAAGAATATCGTTTCGTAATCTTGAGTTTCTTGAGTTGTCGTTATCCAACTGTCATGGATACTTTACATTCACTTTGTTTGTTTGTTTGTTTGTTTATTGAATAATCACCAACGGGCTTGCACCCAATGACAGGTGAAGTCGGACAGTAAAATTATAAAAACATACACGAACACACGACACTGACACACCGGACACCCCGACACTCACATGCACGTAAATCCTACCATTCGGAGGAGCTATATGTACAGCCCTCAGCAGACTGCTTGGTAGGTATTCTTTTTTCAACAAAACCGATAATAACTCAGAGGCTATGCTATCAGTTGGTCAGAACTCACTGCAAATAGATGCACCATGCTCCACTCCTTCGATTAGGTGTATCACTAAACAAAGTATACGCCTTGTGTGGCAACAAAATGCAAAAGTTTGTTTTGGGGGCAAATATAGACTTTTGGATTTTGTTGCCGAACTAGCAGGAAAATGAATACGCTGATGATGCCAATCTAAGGTGCGGAGTCTCGCGTGTCTTCCTGTAACGATTTGCGAATGACCGATAGCATAGTATTCGCATTATTCTCGTTTTTGTCGAAAAAAGAATGCCTACCACGCAGTTTGCAGAGGGCTGTACATAGCGCACCACCCTATTTCTGAAACCAGCTGTACCCTCCGTCCATATATATCAACATCTATGTAGGTACGTTGCTCCGCAGGAATGCGTTGCATCGGCTGGGAATTAAACGGAATTAAACGCTTCGTAATTTCTGCAAAGCGGCGATTTCCCTGGCGTGGACCGCGGGCGGTGCGTGCTGCACCGCTCCGGCTGTCTTGGATCACGCCGGTTTACACCGCCGTGCCATGCCTCGGCCCAGCTGGAGCACGGACCTCTGCGCGTGCCACACAACCGACCCAGACTATCCAATACGTGCGCTCCGCATCGACGACACTGGGCTGGCATGAACTAGGGTATAGCACCGTATGGGCCATAAAGAGAGGCATCTGGAGGGCCGACCAAAAAGGTGAACACTGAACTCAGAAGTCAGGGATATGATGTGGGTACGGTTGCCATTTTGCGTTTCACTACTCCATATAAACTTTTTGCATGATGCTTGCGAGTGCCTATGTGCCTAATAAAAATTACAAATCTGTGTGGTCGATATGGTTATGGCGGGCAACTATATTTTCATTTAGGTCAGCGTTCTACATAGACATGAAGTGGTGACCTCAATAACCCGGGTCTGATTTTTTACATGTGCGGAAAACATGTTATGAAAAGGCGTTTTAAAACGTTGGCATGTACACAGAAACAGTTTTCCTGCTCATGTACGTTTATTTACGTACCGAAGTACATTGTCTGGTGTTTGACTCTGAACTGTGCAGAATGCAGATGCCTGAATTTTGAGGAAGTCTGAAGCTACGCATGTTTCAGAAAACTCTTGCACCTTCGTTGGTCTTTTTCAGTGACCAAATTGAAAAAAGAGATTCCGATTTTCCACTCGGCACTATACGTTCTAGAACTTTCTCAGAACAAACTTTAGCTTATGCATAATGACCCGTCAATTTTTTTTTTCCTATGGCGTATCACAAACCCTTTGTCCTTACCCTTTGCAATCCACCTTCTCATTTTCATTGGTCAGTTTGAAGAAAACACGATTCCATGAGTGAGTGGTAGTATACGATATTATACTCTAATAACTAATTGATGTGTGATACCTATCGATAAATAATGGAAAAAATGGTTGTAAGGGGATGAACTCTGAGGCTCCAGCGCCCACAAAGGCCAAAAGGAGCAGTTCTATATCTTTTCCTTTTGGCTTTCCTGCACGCAGTCTTTTCAAAGTGCAATATGTACAAAAAACGGAGCACGCACCACGTGCAGGGGCCGGCCGCGGCCGGGGGCAGGGCCCGCTATTGATCTATCGCCCGCGCCGGCAGGGTCGTCCCTGCCTCCCCCACCCCTCCCCTGCCCTGTGGCGCCCGGCTCGGCGCCGGCCGGCCGGCAGCGCTCCGCCCAGTCGGTCTCGTACCGCGCTCGCCGAGGGTTGAACAGCGCTCGCTCCGCTGTGATCAGCTGACTGGTCTGAACCACCGCCCACTCCGTCCAGAGAACGTTCCCCGGTCGGTGAGGAGAGTTTGGTGTTTCTGAGTCTCAACTCTGATAACCCACAGAAGAACCTCTGTATAAGACCGCCTCTGTTCCGTGTTTGCCCCGCTCGCGGCGCGCGATCGACCCGCGGCGGAGCTCGCAGCCTGCCGGCCGACCGGAGCGCCCGGCCCGGCCCAGAGGCGGCCCAGACACGGTCGCCGCTGCACGTGGCACGTCTGCCAGCCGACACCGCAGCAGGGGCGCCCAGCTGAGCCGGCAGAGCACGCTATTTATAGGTGAGTCGACTGCACTACCCGGCCCGGTGAGCCGTGGCCCCGCCGCGCCGCCAACGATGCTGGAGGGGTTAGTGCCCCCAGGGCGACATGCTCTTATGAGATGGCTTGTTAACTGGCCTGGGTCGCGTTTCAGAAGGCGTTTTGAGCTCATCTGAGCCAGTGAAGTAGGGCAGGGTAAGTGCGGCACCGTAGGTCAATCCTATAGCACGGGGGGGGGGGGCTATTTTGGTGGAGAGGCTGGAATGTTGTCAGCATTGGCTATTTATACGCGTAGTACACTGACTTCAATACCATGGGTGCATCCATTCACATTCATGTGGGAAGCCAGACGCTCGGTGTCGTTTTGTAAGGCTTCCCAGCATTTTTAACCGCCGGCGGCCACTAAGCAATATCCGTTTTCGTCGCATTAATTACCAATTATTCCAGCCAGTAAATTTTTCAGTATCGCTTAATGAAAGATCAAGAAGCCTTCAGTTATTTTAGTGAAGACCGGTAACAGAAGGATGCACACTTGTCAAACGCTCCCAGAGAGAAGTGCAAAAACAAACCAGAAACAAAAGGTTACGTAACAGTCAACCTGGGGACAACATGCTCGGTAGATTCGTGTGTGAACGGACTATGTAATCTGTATATCACACAGCATATTGTTATTGGAGGGCAGCGCAATGGAAAGAGGGAAAATTAAACCACAAAATTGCATATTTGTTCGGAAGAAAGACAATTCTGAGTGAAATATGTAGACTGTAGTACTACAAAAAGCCGAGAGTAGGTAAACCTGTCACAACAACAAAATAGGTACCAAAAGCGATTTCGATTGTTATACCGGATGGGGTATGCATCACATCATGCACGGAGAGTTATTATTGCAAAGATACTCAATTCTAACCGACCGACATTACAGCCATGCCTCTGATACCGCCGAATGGGCGCAGGTCTGCCGGAAGCCAGTGGGTGACACGCGATAGTGGCCGCTCGGGTTCGGGGGCGGGTCTTAGTCTGGCGCGGTTCAGTGGCGCCCCAAGAGGGGGGGTCTGGGTATGCTGCCGGTATGTTGAGGGGCGGGGGAGGGAGGGGGGGGGGTCAAGGGGTGGGTCTGACGGTACAGCACCGCTTAGAGGGTATGAGTCTGAGTATAACCTTTTATACATAACTGGGGCTGGTTTCGGAAGTGGACATGACTTTCATATGTCTGTTCAGGATTAGTTTGTGTGTGCGTGTGGGGGGGCGGGGGGACGTGGGGCCAATGCCCCAGCCTAAGTCAGGTCGGGCATGCTTCGACAGTACAAAGTCGGCCCTCTAGTTCAAGGTTCGAGGCGCGGGTCAGGTTCGGCAGAGCTCAGGCTATTGTCTGCTTACAAGAGTATGACATTCAGCAGTGCAGGGTCGCCGGGGGCTGGGTTGGCGGGGGGGGGGGGGCGTTCCGCAGTATGCAGACTCGCCATGTGGTTGGGAGCAGTGGAAGGGGGGTGCCGATAGTTTATAAGTTAATCTCAGTCCTGGCGTGACTACCAGTTCGTAGTCTTTTTAGGCCTGCCATGGTTACTCATGAACTGTCTGCCGCGGCGCAGACTGCATTTTGTTAAAGGGGAGACTGCGTATTTTCGCAGTGTGGGATGATCTTCTGCAATCTGCAGTCTATTGGTTGTTGGGGACTCGAACATATGAAACTTTTAGTATGTGACTTGTCAGTGCAATCACGGCACATTCACATTTGCTCCAGTGCTTTACGAGGGTGTCAGCGCCCAGAGGCATTCTTTGGGAGAGCTTCCCAGCAAACATGCCCACATGGTTCCCATATGGGGCCCACATGGGCCCCCCACCTCTTACATATGGGTCCCACGTGGGCCACTCATGTGGGCCCCACATGGGAATGGCAGTGGGTGACACGTGGGACCCATATGGGCCAGCCCACGTAGGCCCCATATGGGACCCATGCGGCGCCCACATGGGACCCATATGGGCCAGCCCACACTGACCCCATATGGGACCCATTTGCCACCCACCTGGGAGTCCACATGGGACCCATTTGCCACCCACATGGGACCCATTTGCCACCCACATGGGACCCATTCGCCACCCGCATGGGCTACCCCACACTGGCCCCACATGGGACCCACTCGCCACTCAGCACCCGCCCTGTCCTACAATGCCTGCCCCACCCGGCCCCATTTACGCCACCCACCTGAATCTATGTAAACCCAATCCGCGGTACGCTCCCATTTGAAAGTGTCCCTCCCAGCCTGACGTTCAGCGGTGCTCTCGCACTGTCCGTCAATGTGCGATGTCATGCGAGACGAAATATGCTTCCTTCCAGCACTTTATTCCCATAAAAACAACAAACATCAGGCACAGTCCTGTATTTCTTTCTGCGCTCATCGAGACACAAGTCACTGGGCGGGCGGACGGCCTCGCCCCCGGTCTGATCGCTGGCCGTCACGGTCGCGGCAGTTTGTCAGCCACTTGCCGACGGCCTTTTCGAGATCCTTTTCTTGGCAGGTCACCGTCGGGTTCAGGTTGACAGCGTCTGTGAAATAAATAGGGCACACTAAGAAAGCCACAATGTAAGCACATTATCTGATAAGCGTTAAATGGACAGTCATTATAAAAAAAAAATTGGAAGCCAGGGAGCCTCCTTATTTTACTACCGTTGCTGAATTTCCATGAATCAAAAATGGATAGTTTGAGGACCAAAAATCGGGGAAACATTTTGCAAGAGCTTTTTGAACGAACCGTCACTATCAACTTGTTAACTTTTTTGCGAAGTGAAAAGTCCTGGGAAATACCTACGAGTATTTAATGGAAGTGAACGTTGAGGATAATGTGGGAAAAACGTGTTGACTTTATAAAGTTTAAAGAAAAGATCCAGGAAAGTTTTGTTATTGGAGGCCAATTCGAAACGGCGCACACATTGAAACATTGAGGATATTGATGCGATTTTTGCGATTATGCGATTATTGCGATTATTGCGATTATTGATGCGACACATTGAAACATTGAGGATATTGATGCGATTCAAAGCGTGCACACATTTCGTACATTGAGGGGCGATAGCGGGAGAACGGTGTCGAACTTCGAGAATCGGTCTTCAGCTCCTTGAACAGAAAGGTGGGGCCTACGAAATATCAAATTTAAACATGACATTGTCCCTTTAACTAATATTCGAAACAAACATTAAATGTTTCCCGTAATTTTCGCAGCCACTTCAAACGGAGGACCAGAGACCGACATTGGCTAGTTTTGATACAGACGGTGCGGAACGAGGAGCGCGATGTTTACTCATTAAATCGAATATCAACGCTGGTGTCAAACCATTTGTGACTGATGTCACGCATGGAACCTTTATTATGCTTTTCTAATTGACAAATTACTTATTTGAATGACCCATTCCCATGGTCGAACAGATTGGTGTGACCACCAAACTGTAAGGTACTCACGGAAGATCACCCGGAACAGCTTGGTCTTCCCAAGGCCGACCTTCCCGTGGCTTAATAAGGCTTTATTGGACACGCACACCACTCAGAGTCTGAACGCCAACTGGCCCGCCCAGACGCCGCAGCCCCGACAGCCGACCGGCCGGTCGGCCGGTCACCACCCCGGGCGGTGCAGAGGCGGCCCCAGGCCCCGTCCGGTGGGCCGAGCTCCGCCGGCGGGTCGCCCGCGCAGGGGCGGGCTCAGGCGACACAATCATACGACACAATCACAACATTGACTATCCAATATCAGCCGTAGCTGGTCTCACAAACATCAACTATGCGACTTCCTCACGTCGTCGAAGTGTATTTTGGAGGCATGAGACTAAACAGCGAGTTCTTGTTTCTTGTAATATCATACACATTGGACAGTGAAAAAATAAATAATGGGTTGCCCACATCCAGCCCACCTACACCCCACTACATGGGCTGCCCACGCAGTGCCCATGTTAAGCCCACCATACAGGAACACCGCGTGAATGCCTTTGTTCACCAAAATTCCTGGATATGCCCTCGTACATGGTGCAGGCAATCTCATTATCAATCATTATGCCTGCCAAAAAATGTGGGCAGCCCATGTGGGGCCCACATGCAGCCCATCTCTAGCCCATGGCCCACCTAGCCCACCATGCCCATCAACTGCCCATGTGGGGCCCACATGGGCATGCTGGCTGGGCGTTTGCCCATTTGGGCCCCATGTGGGCCCCGGAAGGATGTGCCCAGCTTGCTGGTGCCCAGTCTGCCCACATGCTGCCCGCATCCAGCCCAGATAGGTGTCGGGTCAGTTAACAAAGTTTTGTAGTAAAGTTTGCCCATTTGGGCCCCATGTGGGCCCCGGATGGGTGTGCCCAGCTTTCTGGTGCCCAGTCTGCCCACATGCTGCCCGCATCCAGCCCAGATAGGTGTCGGGCCAGCTACCAAAATTTTGTAGTAAAGGAAATGTTCATATCCCAGCAAACATGCCCACATGGTTCCCATATGGGGCCCACATGCCCCCCCACCTCTTCCATATGAGCCCCACATGGGAATACCAGTGGGTAACACGTGGGAACCACATGGGCCAGCCCACGTAGGCCCCATATGGGACCCACGCGGCGCCCACATGGGACCCATATGGGCCAGCCTACATTGACCCCATATGGCATCATGTATGAATTTGATATACTTGGAGTCCAAAATACACATGAACAACAGCCACCTTTTTTGCTTTTATGCACTTGGAGTAACTTAAATGGGGCCCACATGGGTGATCCATATGGGACCCACATGGGATGCCCATCTCCAGCCCACATGCGTTTGGCCCACCTGGCCCATTTATATCCCATATGGGGCCCATATGGGTAGCCCATCTGTAGCCCATGTCCCATGTGGGCCCATCTGGCCCATGTTCACCCCATATGGGACCCATGTGGGCATGTTTGCTGGGTTGACACTGCTGGAGAGATGCAGGTTGTTGATGGTCCATAGAGAATGCTACTTTTCTGTTGGTTCTGGCGTTTTGAACTAATATTTACACACCGTAACTCAGCAATGTATCGAGGCGTGGCAACGATAACCAGGACGGTCCTAGAAATTTGTTGCCTGCCAAATATTTCCTTAATGTCTGGGGCGTCTTAATAAAAGTCTTGAGTTGTCACATCCCCATGTCCAAATCCTATTGGTGCTATCTTGAGGAACGTTGCACTTCCCTCCCACTTCTATCTCGTTGAAGTTCAGCTGCACTGTAATTATCCCAGGTGGCTGACAGGGAGTGTCACTACAGCTGGTGACACGTGTCAGGCGCCTCGCTGACAGTGTCAACAGCTGCGGCACGTGCCCAAAATCGACACCGACCTGAGTGCGGCATCGAGCTAGACCAGAGGGACGTTTTAGTACACACAATTATTATGCAGCGCATATGAAAATTGCCGTGGTTGCTAAATTCACCTCAAGTGTTATTGAATGTCACGAAAAGTGCATACCGTAAACCGGGGTGAGTTGATATGGGGTGGTGAGTTGATATAAATTGCTCGAAAAATGTTAAAATGTGTGCTGCTCATCCATTTGTAAACCAATTTTTAGTTTTATTTTTCTGTGAAGTGAAGCAACCAATAAGTGATGCATATAGCTGAGAAAGGCATGCATGTGGTGCAGTGCCTTCTTAACACATTACTTTTTTCAAAGTCCTTTTTTTCTTCTGATTTTGAAACTAAGGAAAAGTCCCCACCCTACAGCAAAGACGGTGGATATTCATGAAACAACGTGCACTGGGAAAGAAACTACCATCAATTTACTGTTGATCCCAGGTAGTTTTGGGTTTCACCTATAACAACGCTTTTTTATAATTTTAAGAAAAGTGACAGGTGGTGAGTTGATATGCCATCAGGTGGTGAGTTGATATGCATGATAAAAGCTGATACCAGGCTGGTAGGCATGCAAATTAGCATGAAATATGGGTCTGACTCTGCAGGTAAGACAAAGTCAATTAGACCAACTCTTCTCCTTTTCTTTCCCCACATCATTCCATCAACCCCAAAAGCTTTAGTTTTTTCTGAATGCTTGAGACGAGGCCTGTTAGTATCACTGATGTTAGTTGTCGGACTTTCGTCCCCGTCTTGAGTTGAGATGTTAGTTTCACAACGTTTCAGCCAGTAGCTTCTCCGGCCGTAGTCAAGCCTGCCTCGATAGTGGAGAGGTTACAACCGTGGACCATCACCGGGGAAACCCGAGTTCGATTCCCGCTGACTACAGGAGCTTTCGAACTGTTTGACGCGTACGGCGCAACGCCACCAACATCCAGGTCCTTGAGGGTCAAAGAACACCTGACGAGTGACGACGGCCGGAGAGTAACTGGCCGAAACGTTATGAAACTGAATCTCAACTCAAGACGGGGACGAAGGTCCGACAACTAACATCAGTAACCCCAAAGTTTTTTTTTTTCTGTGGACATACCTAACATGCAAAAGGCACAGCACAGCTCCCTGTCAAGTCTCAAGATGGCTCCCTACAAGCTACAAAGGAACACTACGGAACACCTATATTACATACAGATTAAAAAAACTGTTATATTTATTCGTAGTTTCGAAAATGACAGAACTGTCATTTCTGTATGGCTGACAGCGCGGGAATTCTGATCTCGTGAAACTGATTAGTTTTCCTGCTTGGCAGTTGCCAACCGAGAATGAGAGGCAACATGAAATGGAACAAACAATATAAAGAAATTGACTGGTGTTTAGCCCTCGCCCGTATTCGTGTTTTGCCAGCGTTTAACGTATGGGGGGGGGGGGTCCGTTGGAATCCCATCGTCGTTTGGCCCCTGGTGGAGCTAGAGCTTCGCGGAAAAAATGAGCGTGTTGCCCGAGACGCGAGGAAGCCGATGATAACCAACTTGGTCATTGGTTAACCTTCCAGGCCAGGTCAATTACCCAGAAGTCGGGAAAATAGGGGGTTATTTGAAGTTCGTAAAGCGAGTTTATTATTTTTTGGCTGTTGCTGATCGCGAATGTCATGTTAGTTTTGCTCACAGATGTCTTCGTACATTTAGGCCAGGTCAGGTCAGGTCAGGTCAACCAGTAGGTATCCTGCCGGCTATCCATAGGGAGTGTCAAGTGTCAGCTACCACTGACGGTGTCGTAACATGTTACGAAGGCACTAAAACTACTTCATAAATGATCAAATGCATGTTAAATTCGAAATCGGCCCGAAAAAAACTACCCTAGAAACATGTAAAACTCCAAAAAGTGAACCAAGGTCACCAAAGGTCAATGACCTGACCTGACCTTCAGGTGACCTTGACAGTTGACACCCAAAATACTGCGTGGGACCAACATCATTTACATGTTTGGACGTTACAATCACAAAAAGACTGGAAATGCGCGGATAATGTGAGCCGACTACGCCAAATCGCGATTCCGGCCAAGCATGGTCTCGAGAATCAGGTCACAAGTCAAAAACCATTTGAGTCAGAGTCATGAAATCTTTAGAACATGTGTAAAATTGATAAACTCGAGAGGTACTGAAAGTTTCGTCGTGATCGGCCGCTTTTTGCGCGAGTTATGTGCGAAAAGCCGAGGTGGTCCGTTCGCCCGCCTATAAGTGCGAGGGTTAATTTTGGCTTTTGATGCCGAATTCTGTTTTATGTCGCTTAGAATACAGTCCGAATTAGATTCGCTTCACTTCACTTCATTAATATTTTGTTGACTACCAGTCAACAAAAGCTCAGAAGTATATGTATTCTTTCATTTCAATCCATTATTTCTGTCAGAGGCATATCAACCTTGACCCGCAACTGACAATGTGTTTTAATTACAAGAAAATACACTTGTAATTCCAAAATATATTGCCAGTTTTGATACCGTTGGCTTGAGGACACGTGACTAGCCAAGTTCAGAATGTTCTAAGTAAAACTAAGTATCATAAAGCGAAAAAATGATGCTGCTAAAATCAAGCCATTTTGATCGCGCTGTGTTGGACATGATTGCGTTTTCATGAATGTGAGGTCTGCTGCCAAACTACTAGCATTTTTCTAATGGTTTCTTTCAGGATGTGTTCTCTCATCCTTTTTTTAAACACTGGCATTTTATCAACTCACCTCTGAGCTTCTTTAGCCGAGAAATTTTGAAAAATCCAAAATCATATCAACTCACCCCCTGTGGGGTGGTGAGTTGATATGAACTTTGGCGTTTTAAAAAAGGGGCTTAATATATACATTTTCTATTCATTTTTGCTGATTGCCTCCCCAAGGCATGTGCCATGAAACTGGCACAAAAAGAATTCCGTAAATGAATGTGGCTTTTAACGAAATCTAGAATAACCTCAAAATCCATATCAACTCACCCCGGTTTACGGTACCTAATGCACATGCTTGAAATGAAGCACATTTTTATACTTATATGCGATTACGTAATATGTTATATTAGCACTTATATAACCAATCTCCAAGAGTCCAACAGCATTTTGTGACATTGTCCATCCCGTAACCCAACATATCAGCTATGGTAGCTATCTTGCTATCTTATTTTTTCTTGGATTTACATGTCCTCGCGAGTTATGATATCTTCATAATGAGCATCGATACTTAACCCGTTCACTGTTCAGCGTATAGTAGTCTCGGAACTCGGTTTGCTGAATAT